AGCTGCAAATTATAGCTTCTTATACCTAAAGCATCTAAAACACATAATTTTTTCCATTTTTTAATGGCTATTGATGGCTTAGCAAAAAAAACTAATTTTAAAAATTATAAATTCACAAAAGCTGTAGGTTAACTTTATTGTGAGAATGTTTATTCATTTATTATTCATACAAAAATACGTCATAATTTCAATGAAATTTATTTTTTATTACAATGATTTCTGTAATTGCATGATGGTATTTGTACAAAAACATTTTAAAACAAGTGGCCAGATTTATTTATTACATTAAACTTATGTACGATTTTATCATAATAAAAATAATTATTTAATATTTGCAAAGTTAATGAATTTTTTTACAAATTAAATTAAATTTCATACATAAAATTGTACAAAATGTTTTTGTTGTTAATTTATTTTGTAGTTTTTTGACTTTTTGTATTTCAAGGAATAAAAATAATTATGCTGTTAAAGTAAAAATATTCATAAAATTATCATCCTTTAAAGTTCTAAAACTTATTGACTCTATGTGTGCCTTTATGTTAAATAAGAACATGACCGGAAATAAATTCCTTTCATTAGCTCAATTGTGATATTTTGTCGCGTATAATTAAAACTTTTATGTTATAACGAAAAAAAACTGCTTTTTTTTCCATAGTAAATATTTTTGTCTGACTACTATAGGACTATACTACTACCAAAATAATTTTTTTTTCATTATAAATATTTTTGTCTGACTATTATAGGACTATACTATTACCAAAATAATTTTTCTTTATAAATATGTTTGTCTGACTACTAAAGGACTATACTACTACCAACATATTTTTTTTCATCATAAATATTTTTGTCTGACTATTATAGGACTATACTACTACCAAAATAATTTTTTCTTTGTAAATATTTTTGTCTGACTACTAGAGGACTATACTACTACCAAAATTAATTTTTTTTTAAAGGGAGGGTTCTTATTTGTTCAAAATTGGATACACACAAACTACAGTGATGTTAATTTTAAATATCATATCTAAAAATCTGACATTCCCCCTTAAAAAAAAAAAAATAAATAAATAAATATAAAAAATAAGTTCACGATTAATACATAATTATACTTTACACCCAAATGAAAGGTTTAAATGCTCCGGTAGAGCAATTGTACGCAAAAATAAAACAAATACAGCAGAAAAACAGACTTGTCATAATCATTAATGTTATATTAGATAAATTTTTCCATCCCCATGTTCACGCAGCCCATCAGATCCATTACGCTACCTATGCGTAAAATCTACAACCCACACCGTCTCAATTATACCATTGCGCGCATGTGAACTCATCAAAGTTAATCATTAAACAAAACTCAAGAGAGTGAGAGAGAGAGAGAGAGATTCAGCCCTGGCCTGCGGCTCGAAAATAGTACATGCTTCCCCTCGGTGGGGAGTGCGCTGTGTATAGCGCGCATGCAGTCGAGAGAGAATCTAGGTACTGCAGCAGCAGCAGCTCTCGATATCATTCGCTATTCAGCTCGCGCGAGAGGAAAGATCGTGCAAGAACAGCTAGCCTCGAGCTGCCTCTCCCCCCCCCCTCACGAACTGCAGCAGAACAGGTACTTGCGCTTTGCACTCGCGTACTCCGCGGCAAAGCAAAAGGCGCTTCTAATATTTAGTATCGAATGAATTTTGAGTGCCCCTTTCCCCCTTTGTCTCGGGAAAATTTTCGTGTTTTTCAAGGAGAACAGCGGGTCACTTTCGCCCAAGGCTCTTCGCACGGACTCCTATACGAAATATTAAAATTTCGTCCTAATTCACAAGCAAAGCGCTGCTCTCGCAAGCTCGCCACGACTCTGCTTTACCGGTGCTATTTTTGAAATGAAAATCGAGCCGGAAAATCAACTGGTACAGTGGCTACCTTCTTGCGCAATAGTCCGCGGTCGTCGCGTTCCGCGTCCCCCTTTCCCCCCGCCGGTGATTGCCAAGACATTAATAAAAGATATTAATAAATACCATTACGGCCGATCTCGCCAAGTTATTAATAAATTCTATTATTGCCGAGATGTTTGTTTGCAAAATAAGACGCAAGTGCGACTTTAAGCGATTTCCAAACTCGAGTGGACGCGGGCTGGCCGATGATATTTGTGTCAGTGGTGGATTAGCTCGCGCGAGCGCGCTGCACTTTGGGGAAAGCCTCGTAACGCGAATCGCTTAAAGTTGCACTTTTCCCTCGAAACGATTTAATATTTAATATCATCGGCGCTCCATCCGCTTTAAAAAATTTAAAGAGAAGGGGCTCGGATGGTATTTAAATCACACGCGAAAACACCCTCGATTTTCCCCGCACCCATACAGTATATATACGCCCTCCGTTTCAACTTTTGATAATTATAAATATTATTAAAGGGATGAAAAATTTTCAGCAAAGAGTCACTACTCGCCTTTTCCAAACGTTAAGCTGAATCATCAGCGATCCACAATTTTCAACTTTATTCGCAAATCACAACGGCCCAACTTTTGGTTTTTAATTGAACGCTTTTGCGATGGATATGTTCTTGGTGGAAGTTTTTTTTTCCACCTCTCGCCTAGCAAGAAGCGTTGGGCCGAGAAAATATAAAAACTTCCGAGCAGGCTTCCAACAAGTTTCGAGAGTACGCACCCTACATTACAAGTGCACGGACAGCAAGGCACGGTGGAAGGGGAAAAAAAGCCGGGCGATAAGGAAGAGAGGAGAAAAAAAGGGAGTAAGAAAAATAATGAAACAAGTTTGCGATAAAGTTGGAAACGACAATTAGCAGGGAAAAAAACGATATCGCGCCGAGTCGTACATACCCGAGCGGACCCTCGTTTCTGCGTCTACCCCAATACTTACCTAAACCACTTGCTATCGAAAGCCAAACCCTTTCGCATTCCAGAGCGTAAAAGTTGGCGACTCATTTTTTCTGGCACAAATCAAAACATTGCATCCTCATTCACTGCAGGGAGCAATTCCTTTGTTTAGGCTCTCGCGGAAGAAAAGCGCGGCGCAACCTGTATAGTCGCAGGTCGGAGTCGAAATAAGTATCAAAAAGAGAGGCCGCAAGTATGAGTACCCGTTGGTATATAATATGCATGAAAAGCATGCAAGGCAACAGCTATAAAGAGAGACGAAGCGAGGAGGAGCACAGAGTGTTTCGGTTCGCAGGAGGAAGGAGAGGAGAGTCAGCGCAGCCTCCGGTACGGGTCAAACGAGCGCATCGTTGCAGCCGGAGTGGAGCGTGCACCTCTCTGCTCCTTGCCTCTCTCTCCGTTGGATATGGTAGCAGGCGCGCGTGTCATAATTCAGCGGGGAGAGCAAGAGGAGGAGGAGGAAGAGGGCGTCGAAGGCCTCTTCGCAGGTCATCGATACACAAACGCGAAGCGCTGAATATGCGCCCGCGGCCGTCGCCCGTTATCGACCGATAGATCGATAATCCAGAAGAGGAGGGGAAGGACAACAGGCCCACGTCTTCGGGCGCGCGCTTGCGCCTTTCGAGAGGAGGAAGTGGAAGAGGAGTGGGGCGCGAGGCGCACGCGCCCAACAACCGTTTTTCTGCCTCCTCCTCCCATTACTCCTCTTTCTCTCTCTCTCTCTCTCTCTCCTCCTCCTGTTCGCTGATGCCTGCCAAATAAGTGCCACACTTGCTCTTTTGCCCCTCTTTCTCCATCTGCCAGTTTGCTCGCTCCGTTCCTCCACGTTATTATTTCCTTGTCCTCACGATCAAGGACCTCTCGACGCTTAAATTCATCCTCTCAAAATTCTCGATTACGGATGCGCCTGCGACTGACCATTCAACCCCGCAGCAATGGTTTCGTCCCTTATAGTGCCGTAACTGTACGCAAATACGCATCTCATCTGTATACACAGGATACTCCGTGACACTTGTGCAGCTTTTGGCTTTCGAGTCCATGTATCCATCGCTGCAACCTCGTATAGGTGTGCACACGCCACCCCCGCTGCCGGGGATGCCGAGCGCGCCCCGACGACGCGACACCAATGGGCCAACACCATAAGGTCAAATTAACTCGAGCGTCTCCATGACAACAACGAGCCTGCACCTACACCCACCAGTTTATACATACACACGTACACGCAAACACCCCGTCCCTCCGTCAGAGTAACCCCGCGGGTCGATACCGCAGCGAACTTGAATTACGCAGTCATTGGGCCTCCTCCTCTCTCGGCTCCTTTCTTCGAAACCAAGCCACCCCCGCGCTTGGGCTTTTCTATTATTCCCTCCTTCTTCTGGAAAATCCGCTCGTCATCGCACCGTATATCGCTTGTATCACCCACGCACACAGACTCAGTTCACCCAGATACCCATTCGGTAGAGAGGGGCGCGCGCGCACACACGCCGATACCGCGGGAGCTGTATATATATACCCACAGCCGCAAACTCATCTAATTATGTCCACGTACACATACATACGTATGTAGGTGAGTCCAAAGGACTCGAGCGCGATGCTGCAGCGCGCAGGCTCGCGAAGCGCCCGAGTACTTTGTACACGTATAGCATATTCAAGGAATAAGAAGAAGGAGAAAAAAGCACGGAGCGGTGCAGCGTGTCTATATATACATGCGGCGAGGAACGAGGAAGAGAAAGGAGAGAGAGAGAGAGATTAGATTAGATTAGATTAGATTAGATTAGATTTTTATTAAATAGCTAAGGACTCAGGGTCCATAATAGCCAGAGCTAGGTACAATCTGACAAAGTTTAGAGCAGGTAGCGCTCTAATACATAAAATTGCTTATAACTTAAATATATATAATATAGAGAATAAATACAAATTAAAATAAGTAATAGTAATAAATAATAGTTGCTATAAGATATAACAAATTCGTTAGAGAAAAGTAGAGTAAAAAGAAAACATTACAAAAATATTACAAAAAGTAAAAACTAATAGGTAATACGTAGACTATTGTGGTAGTAAAATACTAATAGCTGAGATCACTGGTCCTCGATATCACAGGCACACATAAAAAACACAGATGCTTATCTAATCTAAATAATTAGGTCGATCAAGAAGAAGCTCGTAGAGCTTGCTGCCAAAACAAGGTCTCGCAAAACACGCCTGGATGCCAGTCGGTAGCTTGTTCCAGAGCTTTAACGCACCCACTCTAAAAGCAGCTATGTAGAAGTCAATCCTTGCTGAGGGCACATTCAGATCCAGAGGAGACGTTCTTACACCTGTTCTTTCTGGGATCTTGAACTTTAGGTAATTCGCAAGATATGCCGGCTGTCTTGATTTCAGCATAGTGGATAGAAAGCGCAGAGTAAGATATTTGATTCGTACATCATATGCCAATAACTTAAAGCGTCGATAGGTAGGTGATATGTGGTCGGATTTCTTGATGCCTACCACGAACCGCAAAGCTGCATTCATACACCTACTTAGCTTAGTTTTTAATTCACTAGACAAACCAAGCTGCAAAGCAGGGCAGTACTCGAGAATAGAGAAGACTAACGACTTGACTAGCATAAGCTTAGTTTTCACTGGTAAGAAGTAGGCATTCCTTCGTAGTCTTGCAAGGGCAGAAAAACATCGTTTAGCTACCTCAATGGTATGAGGCCTAAACGTAAGGTTGGAGTCCAGAGTTACACCCAGGAGTTTCATGGTATCACTGGGCACTATGACAGAGTTTTTAAGTTTGATGTCAGGAATAGCTAAATTGGAGAGCTTGGCTTGTGTTCCTCGTGTACCCAACCAAAAGAGAGAGAGAGAGAGAGAGGAACGCGTGGCACGCCGCGAAGGAGGGACAGAGAGGGACGGATCGCAGGTGTATTTGTGTGTAGGTATATATATAAAATGCGCGTGCATCGGTGTGACGGGGCACGACGCTATCGGGGGCGCCGAAAGGGCACGCGGCGCCGCCGGCTGCACGTATCACCGGCCGGCTACAACAACGACGTTAATATGCGCCGAGGGCCAGTTTTTTTTTTTTCTTCGCCGTGCAGCCTGCACGAAGCTCCTTTTTTTCCCCTTCCTCCTCCTCCTCCTCCTCCTCCTTCTTTTCGTTCATAGAGGATTATACGCCGAAAAAAGACAGCGGGCAGGTGTATGTATAGGCGCGTGCCCCGAGTGGATGCATCTGCATTACGTGTTTGCTTTAAAACGCGTACGTGGGCACAGGTGTAAAACGTGCACTCGTATGTATAAATGTATATATATATATGAGCGTTCGGCAAAAGGAAACCGGACGTCGTCGACGTAGCCGCGGCCAGACGTCTTTCTCTCCTCGTACACACACGCGCGCGCTCTCGGAAATTATGACACGGGGCTCTCCTCTTTCTCGTTGGCGAGGCGCGCGCGACTTTCTCGGGACGAAATTTGTCTCGGGCGCGCGCCAAACCGAGTATATAGCCACTCCAGCTGGCCGGGGGAGGAGGAGGAGATTGTTACGAGATATAGCCGTTTGTTTGTGTATGCGGGGGCCTTGTTTCTCTCTCTCTCTCTCTCTCTCGGACACGCGTATTGAGCGCGCTGAGAAAGTCATTTTGTATTTCACCGTGTATATATATACCTGTACACCGGGGAATGGAATGCTTTTGTAATGTGCCCCCCTCCCCCCTCCCTATATTTTTCTCTCGCTCGTTTAACGCTACGTTGCGTTTTTCAGCTCCTTTTCTTTTTTCGTCCGTATACTTATACCGGTGCCGTTGTCCTTTGGGTTTTTAAAAGGTTGCCGGATGATCGATCGGCCGGACCGCGAAATTTTCGCTCGCTTTCTTTGTGTACAACGCGGTGTTTGCAAATTAAACGCGAATTGGAAACCAGAGGGGTGGGGAGTTTTATTATTTAGAGCGAATCTTAATACGTTTCGAAAGAGCGAAATCGACCTCGTTAAGCCGAGCGGGAACTCCTCCTTGCCATCGGCGGCTGGTGCCGCTGAAAAAGTAACAACGCCGCCGGATCGATCATTGTTTCGGGCTGTTAAATGTTGATGATCTTTTGTTTGCGGGCCGCTCCGTAGCTCGACTTTGGTGAAAATCCCACTTTGTTTCTCTTATGGGTTCGTGCATGGGTCGTCGGAGTGGGCATTTTTCGCCATTTATTCCGTTAAAATTACTGGTACAGGCCTCATCTCGATTGAAAAGGGAGGAAAAGTAATCAAATTGGTCGCTCGTCGTAAATAACAAAGCCAAAATTAGGGAGAAACAAATGACGTGCGAGGCGAATCGAGAGGAGAATCAATTTAAAAGGGTCACGCTCGATTTGACGGGTTTTTCAATTAACCGACTCCATTTCTCACGGGGACTCGTTTCTTGGATTACTTATTAGCTCTCTTTGCGTTACTCGCGTCATTGAGGTCACAACAGAGGAAAATAAGAAAAGAAAAAAAAGATGTTTCTCTTCTCTCTCCCCCTCTTACTCTCGAGTAAGCATCGATGTGTGTAGGTAAATTAAAATTACCATTTTACATTTTTTTTTTATACTTTGAAAATGAAAATATTTTACGCTGTTTTGCTTGGCTAAAGATATCCTAAAACTGCACAAAGAAGCATTATTTTTAACAAAATAAAACGTTCTTTCTTATTTATTCATTGATTTTATTGCGATATGAGCATAAATCAACGAATACACCCATTGTAATATAGTTAAAGCTTCACAATGCGGCCATCACAGGTGATAATTAGCTCTCCGGGGGGGAAATAAATTTACGGCGCACTCCGGAAACTAATTTCCCAAAGTAAGTCGAGGCGCACATCACTCCCACCGCGTCTGGATAAACGTATGGTAGTGGATTCGCAAAATTCGCTCGTAAAACATTGAAATATTTAAGCAAAGGCATCGCGTCGTCTTTACAAGGATTCTCTTAAAGGGATGGTACCATCGCCCGAGCCTTTAAGAGCTATCTCCCTACCGTACGCGGAGCAGACGCTGATGCGCAATCCGATCTGCGCAAGTATTGACGTTACCCTTTAGCTGATTGGTTTTTTTTGAACGCGATCATTTAGAACGAGTCTCTTACCCTATACTTGAAGCTTTCATGATAAAACTTTATTAACGACTGACGAAGGATCGGACCCGCGAGGACCTTTTTGCTCTGCTCGCTGTGTTATATAGTCGTCGTTTGCAGGTTCATGGAAGTTTATCATTTTATGCCTTATATAATGATTAATTAAATTTTCACGGATCCAAGGCTAATTGTATTGAGCACCGATACATTTATCTTGGATAATTTTCTTTTCTCTGAAAGTAACAATTTTTTTCGGTTGATAATCAATGATTACATTTTGAGCAAAGTTAAGCTTGCTTTCACGTGAAACCAACATTGTTAATCAGGAAAATTTTAATACCACCTCGGTATACCCAATTGCTAGATATTGAGCAAACGAAATTAATTTATCGATAAATTTTATAAATCCAACATAACGTAAAAAAACAGCAAATTAACTAAATTTAACTCTTAGCCCATGGTATGACGATCAAACGCAGCCCCAAAGAGCCCATCGATAACAGGAATAAAAAAAAATAAAAAAAATAGAATAGAAAAGAAAAGAGGCTCAAACGAGCATTCGTCTCTGATTGTGTACCCAAATCACAAAGCTGTAAGGGGCTACGGGGAGCAAATGAAATTACAATAGCGACAAAGGCATCATACACACACGTACACATACACGCGGCCATCAAAAGCAAACTGTACAGCAAGGAGGAAAAGAAAAGGCCGCACAAACGAATTTTCACTTATTACGTCATTCTGGTGCTCAGCTACCCTAAAATCATGATCCCCCCCTTCCCTATGGCTACGCTCGTCCCGAGCCCATCGCCCCTGTCTCTCATCCCGCCCACCGCCGCCCATCTGCGTGTGTTGTTTCTCTCTCGAGAGCCCGCGCGCGCGAAACTCGGCCAACACCAACGCCAGACAAGTACCGAGTTAGCGGAGATGCGAAGGAGCAGTGGGACGGGGTGGAGATACTCCAAGGCACAAAACAACCCCCCAACCACCCACTCCACAGTAGTAGTAGTAGTTTTCACCCCCACCCCCACCTCTCTCGAGCGCCCATCTGATTTGGCCGAGGCTCCTTTACGGGTAACCTAAGCTCCCGAAGGATGTGTTGCTCGGGTCGCGCCACCCCTTCTATACCTTGCCTTCCTTATTCAACAACCCCCCCCCCACCGAGTATACATAAAACACGTGCGCGCGTGTGGGAGAGGGTCTCCTTCTGGTGTTATTACTACCCCCTCGCGGCGACTACTAGTTCCGTTGAAAGTATAGGGATGGGGCCATGCACAAAGGTGGCCGCGGAAAATCTGTACGTGGATAGACAGAGAGGGTTGCACCCTCTTGGACGAGAAATGTAAGGAAAGCTTTCCTCGGAGGTGAGTGGGTGGGCGCACAGGTTGGGTGGATGGTTGGTTGAGGTAGCCAGGGAAAACCCGATGAAGCGAGAGTAAGATATGCCAGTGGATGTGTGCGCGTGTGTATATTTATGCACCATACAGGTATATAGGCAGGCTGTCCATACAACGGTATAGAGGCCAGAATACCTCAGCTCGATAGGTATATATGTGTAATATACGCAGTGAGGAGGAGAAGGGCGGCTGGAGGAGAGAAAAGGACGACTCCGAACGCGAGGACATTGGCCAGGAGAGGTCGAGCGCGCGTGGGTGCTCTCGTACTTTGTACACATGTATACATGCATACGTATATATAATATATAAATATATGTATAATGTACACACGTGTACGTACGAGGAGTATCAGCAGCCCCAGCAACCTCTCCTCTTTCCCTCCTTCTCCTACCTATACACGGTGCCAGACGCACGAGACTCCCTATACCATATCCTCCTCCTCCCGCCCTTTCCTTTACCACCTTCCAGCACGGCTCGCTCATATAAATACACACATACGCTAATGGCATAATATACACATGCAACATACCTACATGTGTATACGCATATATATATATATATATATATATATATATATGTATCTCATTTGATATTCCCTTGTACTACCACCACCACCGCGTCGATCTTTCGTCTCCCTCGCTTCGTTTCGATCCTCTCCATCAGTTCTCTCTCACTCCTCCTGCGGGAGTGATAGTGGTACTGGATATACAGGTATACACCACTTCCTTACATATCCTTCGTGCCGTTCGTCCTCCTCCCACCCCCTTGGCAAGCAGCTTCTTATTCCCTAATGCTCCTTCCTCTCGTTCGCTCTCCTTTGCTTCTTCCTTTCTCACCTCACGGCGATTCATACCCATGCGCCCACCCCGCGAAGTTTCGTCCTTTGGCCATCTCTATCTGCTCACCCACTGGAAGTATATATACCTATACTATCGCTACAACAACGGCAATTACTACTATATATATATATATATATATATATATATACACACACACATACACGCTGCTGTTGCTGCAGCCACTACGCGCAACCCTGCTTTGTACCTACAGGCACATACTTACAACCTCGGCCTCGCTAGGATAACGATCGGGTAATAGGAGCGTGTATTGGTGGCGGTAGCGGCAGAGTGCAAGGTGGGCTGCTCTCTTTCTTTCTCTCTCTCTCTCTCTCTCTCTCTCTGCTTATACGCACAGGTACACGATAGTGTTTGTGTGTGCTCAACCTCCTCCTGTTTCTCATCCCCTTGTCGCTCTTCTGT